ATGGAGGTTGGTTGCCAATCTTTTCTATCCTTTCAAGCATCAAGATGAACAACAGAGAGTGACAGAGATAGGCAACCCATGAAAATTAATGGGAGCTAGTACTTGACTTGAAAGGTGAAAAGACCCAACTTTTATGTTGTTTATTAATGGTTAGGTTACTTAGGTAATTAGCTGTCCAACATTATATAAAATGAAATTATTATTACACTTTAAATAACTAATATGACATATTTTTAATATAATTATTTATTATTTTTTTATATTATTATTATTTTTAATTTTTAAATTTTTAATGAATTAAAAAATATAATAATTAATTAAAATAAAAAATTAATATTAATAATTAAAAATGTAATAATAACGTTACCTTATCATACACCATAATTGTTGCCGGATTGGTTGTGGCCCACCCAGACTCAGTAATTTATCTTCTCTGCTGAAGCCTTTCTGAACCCAAAAGACTTGGGCCTTATGGAACCACCTGACTTTTTTTTTTCTTAACAGGCCGTCTAAGTGGGCCGAATGCTCAGCAGGCTTACACCGTCCCATCTCAGAAGGCCGAATCTCCCTTCTGTTCCTCAAACAGAACAAAGATTAATGGCATCGCCATCACAATATCCTCTCTGAACATTGCACCGAGCTTTTTCTCTGTTATCATTGAATTTTCAAAAACTTCTTTGATTCCATTCTTGTGGTTGTTATGGTGGAACTTAACGTTGTCATCGCCATTGTCACCATCCTTATCATTGCTGCAAGTGTGTGTATATAGGTCCTCTGTGAGTTGGACAATAATCTGCTTTCCAACTCCATTGAACTCATCGAGGGGAAGGGAAGGGTCACTTGCATAGTTGCACTTAGTGTCCATATTGGCTCAATTGAAAGTGAAACTCTCAATTGTTTTTCATTTTTTCTCTCTGTTTCTCCTTGGCCATTGTTTATGCTTTCTGTGTAGGGCAGCCTAACTAAAGTCAAACCTGTCTGATTCATGCGAATGAAAGAAAGAAAAAGAAAAAAAATTAATTAATTAATGAACCTTAGACCGAACTGCATATTCAAGTTTCTCAATTCTCATACATGGGAAACATGAAGCTTGATTTGGGACAGGGAATCGAGTCATGGGCATGATAACAGAACCATACAAACTGACACGTCGATGTGAAGTGACTGCAATTCTCATTTTACATGGCCTTCCTAGGTAATGTATCATCAACTCTACAAGCTTGGGCAGTTGGACCGAAGTTTTGAGTCTTTTTTTTTTACTATAATGAATAGCAATTGACAAAGTATTTTGATATAAAACTGAAATTTAGGGGGGTATGCAGGTTACTTATTGGGTCATTCCTAGCCCATAAAATAATGTCTTCTATGAGGAAACTTTCTTGAAATTTTCAGGTATTGAAGGAATTCAAGATCTCTATAGTGTAAAAGCCCACACAGTTATGATTTTTCCTTTTTATCATTATCGTTGTGTGTTTCTGGAGATCCTGAATCAAAAGATTCTTTTTTTTTTTAAGGTCTTTGGACTCAGCTTCTAGCAAGGATGTTGAGGCGGGTATTTGTCAAGTGCTAGCACATATGTGCTAGTCGTATGTGAGGGTATCGACACTTACTAAATTTTGCAGCTATTGAGCACTAAGAGCTTTTGACCTTTTGATGTCAATTCCACTTCTCTTCATCTAGGATTTCCTTTAATTGTGTATTGTTATTTATGCACAATGCATATTAGATCCTATGTGAGGAATACCTATTAATATAATATAATTCTAATTAATAATTAATTATATGTACAAAAAGAATTTATATTGAGTAATTTGATTTTATAAATTAGAATAATTGTTTATATAATAAACATGTATATTTGTTTCAATAAATTTTAATATAACATGTTTTTCATATTTTAGTTTGGAATCACTTTGTAAATATTATTATGTATATGATATATACTATGAAACACATCAAAGAGATTAAGTTTCAAGATTTTATTAAAATAATTAATCATAATTGGAGGTACATGAGTTTTATATACCATTGTTTATATATTGTATATCCTTGGATTAAATTTTCTGAACCTCATTGCACTACTCATTTGCAAAGCTTTTAATTTTTACTAATAAGGAAATTTTATGGTCTTGAGATATATGAGTAGATAATTATAAAATTTTAATTCTTATGAACAATTGTTCATCTTTACATGTGATTCAACATATGGGTTTTATGATATTATATTTCTAACAAGCATAAAAGGTGTCCATATTTGGATATAAAAAATATATTTGTAGTTGTCAATAAACTATTTATGAAATTAATTATGCATTTTGAAAAAAACATAATTGTTATTTTCTAATAACTATATGGAAGTTTAAGAATTTTTTTAGAGAATATATATATTAAAAGTGCACTAAGGATTGTTGAGAATTACAATTTCAATGATTCATCAAGTTGTATCAAGCCAAACTACAACAGTACAAGGTAACTGAGTTATGATTTTACTTTGGTTAAACTTCTATTTTGGTCCCTCAATTATTGTATGGACCCCTAATTTAGTCTCTCAACTCAAAAAATTCCTGATTTGGTTATTACTGTTTACCATTTTGCCTCGACTTGATCTCTCCGTTAAAATTCCGCCTATGTGTCTTGTTACTTGATAGAGAGAAACATGACATGTAAAAATATTTTGACACATAGGATCTACAGTGCAACAAATACAATGACATGGCAAAAAATAAAAAATTCCTTTTTTTTTTCTTTCTTCCTTTGTTTTTCCTTTTTCCCCTTCTTCTTCCTCTTCCTTTTGTTTCGCCTTCTACAAACCCTAAACCTTTTAAACCCAGCACGCTTGGGTTCGAAAAGAACACAACACACACCTTGGGTTCAATTGAACCTAGCACACTTGGGTTCGATTGGAAAGAACCCAGATCTGGGTTGCACTTTTCATTTTAAATTCAAATTAAAGTATAAAAATTAAATAAATACCCAAATTTATTTGATTCCAAAATTTAATATTTTCCAATTCTACAAAATCAAATAAGCATGCATAGGTTCTTTTGAACCCAGCATGCCTAGAGCACACCCTGGGTTCAATTGAACCTAGATCTAGGTTGCACTTTTCATTTAAAGTAAAAAGAAAAAATCGAATAAATACCCAAATTTATTTGATTCCAAAATTTAATACTTTCCAATTCTGCAAAATCAAATAAATACCCAAAATAAATACGCAGATTTGCAATTCCAATTCTTATCATTCAAATTTTAACGCTTTCATACCCAAAATTGCAGCAATCAAGATTTGAAAAATTAAACCTAAATACAAATGTGGGTGTAGAAGGAACATAGATCTAGATTTCCTCACACCCAAAGTCAGCCTTCTCCTTCACACAATATTCACATAACAAAGGGAACCCAGATCTTAGGTTCCCTTATTGTGTGAGGCCAGTTTGATAGAAGGAACCCAGATCTAGATCTCTTCCCTTACACCACTGAGCCTTTCTCGAAGAAGGGACCCAATCGTCACATGAGCTTCACCAATCAGCCAAGCTTGTTCGCCATGGAGAAGAGACAAGGAGAAGTGCCTGAGGAAGAAGAAGATTGGGTGATTGAAATTGAAGGGCTTTGTTCTGTTCGAATGGGAAGAAAGGGGAAAGTTGAATGTTTGTGCAGTGGTGGGCCCCATGATTTTTTTTTTTTGGTGCTGGGACAAATATGTGACGTGTTATTTTGTCATGTAATCTTATTTTCATGTATACATCTGATGTGTCACAAAATTTTTGACATGTCATTGTTCTCTTGTGAGTTAACGGGACACGTAAGTAGGATTTTAATGGAGGGATTAAGTTGGGGCCAAAATGGTAAACAGTATAGACCAAATCAGGAATTTTTTGAGCTAAGGGACTAAATTGGGGGTCCGTATAATAATTGAGGGACCAAAATAGGGGTTTAACCTTTTACTTATGTTGGCATTTTATTCAAGATGAAGTTATTTGTTTTCATATGTAGATTTTAGCATGTGAGTTCTATGGTTTGACTAAAGTTCTAAATCTCTAAAATTATTTTGTAGAATTACAGTTTAGATATAACTTACGGCATATAATTTAAGGTTAAATTATTGGGTATATAACAAATTTTGTTGGCAATCAATTACTTTCAAAAGGATTATCATGCGTGCTTATCATGCATATTGGTGATAGCCTAATTTTGCCAGTGCATGAAATTTTTTTTAAATCTCGAAGAAAAGATATTTAATAAAATTATAAGAATTTTAACATTTATGTATCTTGGTTCATTTAAAATATTGATGGAAATTTCATATAATTTTCTTTAAGTATTAAAGTAATGGAACTAATTAGTATTGAAGATCTTTTTAGAAACTTTAAAATTCTCTCAATTCATATATTATAATTATATATTAAAGAATTGTCATTATTAAATATTATGAAAGATATGATTGAGAGGGATTTTAAAACCGTATATATATATATATATATATGAAAGTCCTAATAAGGTTTTATGATTAATATAAATAACATCAAGGGTTTATTTATTAGGATTAATGACTTTTGTCACTAAAATTTTTGAGATATTAAGAATTTTGTTCTAGTGGGAGATTTGTTAATCCCTCAATAAGAATTCTGAAATGTTGTATTAAAAAAGTGTTTTAATTGGAGTTTATGAATCGATGTGGGTGGTACTGTCAAAGCGAGCCATCTATTAAAATTCACATATTTCTCAATAATGATCTTGGAATGTTATATTAGGTAAGTGTTTTGGATGGAGTCTAGGAATCAATGTAAGTGGTACTACCAAAGTAGGCTATCTATCAAAATTCACATATTTCTCAATAAGGATTTTGAAATGTTTGCTTCTTAAAAACAATGTGTATGATTACCTACATAAAAGGGGTGATTGTGCATGTTGACCAAAAGAAATGTGAGTGGTAAGTAAGGGTTCTTATTTTGGTTTCGTAGGGAATTTTCTACCCAAAGGGGATTATTTTCTATGGGACCATTCTTATTAATTCACTTGTAATGGAAACTTTTGAAGTTTGATAAAGTTTTATACCAATTGATGTTATTAAACTACCATTTCATTAAAATTAATGGATCTATTAGGAACATCAAACATGAATTATTAAGTTAAGGAATAAAGTTACTACTTTCATATTAGTGCATCCAATATTCTACTCAAAGGTGATTATTATATTATATGCACTAACTTGAAGTAGTGGGAGCAATTAATAAGGATTATAAGTATTTATACCTATTTACTAAAAAATGATTTTCTTACTAATTTACTTGTTAAGGTTTAATTTTATGGACTTATTTAAACATAAAACTATTAATAAAGTAAGGTATAGTTGTGTCTTGAACTCTTATGAGTTAAAGAGAATCATGCTATGGATTAAACTACATTATATAAAGCTTATTTTGAAAAGGCAATTTTATAGAAACAAAGGTTTATAATTAAAATTATATTGTCAATGTGTGATTGATATTAATTTATATATCTCTTAAATGATTCGTGCCTTGATTGCACATGTTTTAATTAAGTTTGGAGATACACGTTTTTTTAGCATAGTGGATTTGAATTGCACAATGTTACTATTTTGTTGTTTGACTAGAAAAATGGTAAAAGACATTGGCAATTATAATAAGAGTAATGTAAAATTTAAGATCTTGAAAAATATCTATTATTATTTAAAGAATTTGCTTTCCTTGATTAGAAAATATTTAAAAAGCAATAGTGGAATAATGTGTCTAGAAAATCAATGGGAGTTAAACAATTTATTACTCTCAATTACTAAATGTAAAATGATAAGATTATGGATATGAGAAAGTTGCTTGGTTGCAATTAAGAAAGTCTTGGACACATGGGTTGAGAATTATATGAAAAATAATTCTTATAAAACATGCAATTGCTTTTATTAAAATTGATAAAATCTTGTCACTCCTGTGCTTATGCATTTGATCAAAATTTAAAAATAATGTTATTTTGGGTAATGGATAATGAATGATTGTTTTCATTAGGATATCTTATATTTGATACTATTAGTTGTCTCTATGGATGACTTGTTGATAGAATTTGGTGGAAAAGACACATCAAAGGTAATTGTTGATTTTACCTTATAAAGTAAGAGTGATATTAAAGTGAAATTATAAATAATAATTATAGTTATACATTATTATGATTGTGTTAACTAATTTACTAATTAAGAGATTATAGTTTTGTTAGTTATCTATAAGGATTGCTTTAGATATTCTTGATTAGTAGAAGAAGTTGATTTCTTTGATAATAATAAGTTTTATTTTACTTATTATTTTATAGTGATGTACATTCATTCTGCTAATATTTTTTTAATAGTTCATATAAATATGGATATTGAAATCTTGAGGTATAAAGGATCAGGTTTTTTTCGAAAATGTGTGAATTTCTTTTGAAGTGTAAAGGCTTTTCTAGAAAATTAAGGAAGATTGTATCTTGGGTTTCTATGAAATTGGAATGGGATTTAAGAGGCTTCCTTGGGGAAGTTTAAAAGGGATTACATCTTGATAAAGGGTTTCTTTGAAGCTATAAAGTGGACCATTGTGGTTTTGACATATTATATATTATAGGAACCATGCTGTATCAAATTATATTACACTTTATCGCACTTATTGGAATAAATGTTGATAGAGATATTTGATACTTGTTATTGTAGGTGTTTTGTGTTGCTAGTGATACAATGACCATATAGTTCGGTATTGGTATTTTTATTGAATGAAATTCTATGCTAAGATTTTAATTTTTATTTGTGGCTACTAAAGTTGTATTTGACCCAAGAGGTTTTTTTTTAAAATATGTTGTTTAAAATTTAAAATCAATTATCATTGCTTAAGTGAGAGAATGTTAGAAATTTTACGTGTGTAATTGTATTTGGTTTTTTAAAATTAGGTTAAATGAAAAATTAGTAAAAAACCAATATAATTATGTGATTCAAATAGGCATAAGTTTTATTTTAATTTTATATAGTGTGATGTAAATAAATGTAGAGCCTAAAATTAAAAATTGATTACTTAATAGGGTGTTCAAAAGATTATTATAATAGGTTAACTCTCTTTCATTTGAAAAACTTTACCTCTATGAGCAGTGAAGTTAAAGAGTGATATAATTTATTAGTTGTCATTATATAGAAATTAAATAAAAAAAATCTAAATTTCAATACTAATTATATTTGATTTTATAAGTTTTGTCACGGTGATTTTTGAAGATTCCTGACTAACCTATTAATTATATAAATTAAAATACATAATTTATTTATTTTATTATATTTTGATATACTAAATTTTACATATCTCATCCTTAAAATTTTAGCATTTGCTTCTAAGGGTAATTTTCTTTCTGCTCTAGCAACTGAAGCTTCAGCTCTTCGTATGGCCATTAATGGGGCATTGTCTCTAGATTTCACTGTAGCAGAGTATGAAATTGATCGTTGGCGCTTGAAATCGATGTTTGCAACTCATCCATATTGTTATATCCATTGCTATTATTATTATTATTATTATTTTGGAACTATCACTGAAATTATATCTTCTGGTTTTATAAAGGAATGCAGAATGCTGAGCCTGTTAAAAAAAAAAAAGAAAAAAAGAAAAAAGAGGCAACTTAGTCAACGATGCGGAAAGAACCTAACCCTTTCGCCTAACCTTTCTTCGTTTTTTCCTTCATTTTTTTTAATGAAAGATGCGGATTGCAATGCAAAGCCAATGTAAATTACATGGAACAGTCAGTGGGAGACGTAGTGCCACCAACAACCCTTGTCCAAATCCTCTCACCCTTTCTTCGGTTTTTCTGATGCTTCGTTTTAAGATAGAAAAGAAAATGATGTGCAGCCCGTGGACCCCTTAATTTCAAAGTGTTCTGTTACTCTCCTCTATAAAATATGCAGTCTGTTCAAAATGAACTGCACGGCAGCAATCTGACGGATAAAAACTACGTCGTTGAGTCGAAAGAGCCAAAAGGCAAAGCTAAATGCTGATTTTCCCAGCATTCCTCTCTCCAAAGTGAGTGATCTGAGTGATTTGATTGTAAAGAAGATGAATCTATCCAGAGTTCTAAAGAAGTGTCTCCTCATAGACTCAGAAAACGGTGCGCCGTTAGCTACCATGTTCGCGCGGGTTGCTCTGTTCGCTGCAACATTGCTTCTGCGGAAAACAAGGTTATATTCAAAATATGATGGGGATGGAATAAAAACGGCGATGTTGTTCCATACCTGCGCCTTCATGTTATGTAATTCCAAGAGGTGGAGTCGACTGAGATTCATCCGTTGGAGTTGCGGCGTTAAGGTAAATTTAACAGCCAACATTATATGCTTGATTCTTGGTATACTTTTTGAGAAATTTTACGAGATGTCACTGGGTAGCCTCTGTTTTGGCTTGAGCATGGCAATCATGTTTCTAATTTTACTGGTGATTATACGACCGAGGACCGACCTTGGGTTCTCTGGTTTCCTAATTGGAGCCATTGGATCGGTTGCGTACAACCTCTTCCAACTCAAGTTTGGAACTTGGATTGTGGTTGCTATATGCTTTGTGCTACTGGGTTTCAAGTGTTGGTTAGATAACAACTGGCTGGAGTTGGAAGTTGATCAGTGGCTACCCACCACAGGTATGGAGAGGAGCAACAGAGGCCTCAGCAAATCATTCCCAAAGTCATTAATTCAAAGAATTGACGCAGTATCAGTAGCGGGTTTCTACCTTGTTTGGGCGTACAATTTATTTAGCACTAATTGTCTAGCCCATACTCGGATGAAAAAGCTTGCCTGCGGGACCATTTACGGTTTGTGGGTTTCTACAGCTCAAAATAGTCTATATTTTTTGCTATGGGCTGGAATTCGGGCATTTTGGCTGGGAAACAGAGAGGTAAGTACTGCTATAATTTCAAAATTGCTGTATTATGTACTAGTTGCAAATTACAGAAATAGAATTGTGGAAAATCAATAAGTACATAAAAGTAATTTTAGGGATTGTTTCTCTGGGGGGAAGAGGGCTCTGTTTACGAGTCTGGACCTGTCGCACTGGGTACAGCTTATTATTTACAAATTAGGCATAAAAGATTATGAGGTGAAAAACTTACTCTTAAAATACCTTTCTAGGCGGCTATCTAATTTTTGCATCAGTATTTTCCTTTTTCCCATTTTTCATTTGAGTCATTCTTTTAGCTGTGAATGTACATTAGCCACCCTTTTTAAGCATTTTCTCTTTTTTCAAGTATCTAATTTTAACTCTCAAAGCATCCTTACTGGATTCAGAAGTGCTGCCCTCCTCATGAACAGAACAGTATTCCACTTCATCCATTTCATTCTCCTATGGGGTTCAGGTATATATTTGTTTTGTGTTTACTTATAAGGTTTTTTCACTGTCTAATCAGTGTTTT